CTTGTAAACAATGTCACGTAACGTCACATTTACCTCAGAAAAACATATTCGGCGACCATAAACTCGTTAGTCAGCCAGAAGAATAAACTGTAGAGAGGAGCATTTTGCTAAATGTATGCACCATATAACATTCATTATTTAAAAAAAAATTTTTTTTTTTTACCGTTCTTTAATGTTTTATTTATGTTTGAATAAATCCGTCCAAGTTTTTATGACAGCCACTATTTAAATGTGTATATTTAAATAAACTAACTGAAGTAATTGTAACTTAATTATTATAAAAACTCTATTAAGTGCAATTTAAGCAGTTGTACAGCACAAATCAGTCAATTTTAACCTTCAATATTATAGTAATGTAACTGACTCTCATGTATATTTTACAGCATTAGTTGAGAGATTTTTTTTCCTTGAGAAAAGTTGGTATGTATCGTACTGATATGTATCCAAAATAATCGACATTGAATCGAATCGAATCGAATCGTGAAATTTGTGTCAAAACCCAGCCCTAATAATTAGCACCACAGAAGTACAGAAGAACCATAAAATAATTTAAGTGAAACAATTTTTTGTGACATTGTGTAATAAACAATAAGTATGTATCATTTACAGTATATATTTATATAATAAAAATGATTTGTTTTATTATAAATGATATAAAATAAATGAATATAAAGTGTGAATGAATATACATATACAGTGTGAACTGAATGTAATGTTTTTGGACATTTAATCACATCTTTTGCAATAAAAAAAAAATGTATTGTAGTTTAAATTTGCATGAACTGCAGTCATTTGACCGTTGAATTATTCTAGTTCTTCACTCTGAAATTTCTCACATTATTGAAGTAAAATGGGTTGTAGTGTCATTATAATAATGATACTTGATCTCATTTGCAGGTATCTCTGAGCTGGAGTCAGGATCGTGCCGAACCAGCAGATTCCGTCTCTCTCTCCGTGTCTGTATCCGAGCCCGGATCTCTGCTGGGAATTCTGGTGGTGGACAAAGCAGCATTGGACTCCAGCAAAGACAATGGCATCACAGAGAAGACGGTAATATGATCTTATACAGGTTCGAGATCACTGACATCAACACGGGGCAATATGGAGATCCTTTGTTTTCGGGGTTTCTCACCTCATTTCTTATCTCGTTCAGTGTATTGAGTTTTAAAGTGTGCGAAATCATCAGACGATTGTTTTTCCCACAAAAAGGTCACATGATAACTAAAACTGGTCATCCTATGTAACCAAACGCTGACACCACGCCCGCGTTTCACTTTTAGACAAAAGAAAGAAACTGAGAGGAACTGTGTTTATCAGAACTAGGTGAACAGGATTGATGCTACAGACAGCATTGTGTTGTTCTGAATTCAAAACAATGGCCGGTTTGTGGCGGCCAAACGGCAGCTTGTTCTATTCAAATGATGTGACATCACAAAAACTGATCAAAACTAATCTAAGATCAGCAACATGAGCTTCTGTGTGTGTTTTTCAGGTGCTGGAGGAATTCATGTCGTATAGCAGAGAGATGACCCATGCGGATTACAGCAGCGTAAAAATGGGAGAGCCGTATTCCATATTCATGGTAGATTTTTATCTCAGGAACAGAACATGTCTCACTTGTCCGCACAGGGTTTACGGTTGTTGTTTTATTCTGCAGACGTGCGGCGTCACGGTTCTGACCGATGCCAAGCTGGATCAGGAAAGGAGTCAAATATTCCTTGCGTTCCGTAAGTCTTAAGGCTGAATCTACCCTAGCAACCACTCAGAACACCATAGTAACCACAGTGTTGGGAAGGTTACTTTGGAAATGTAATAGGTTACAGATTACAAGTTACCCTACTTAAAATGTAATAAGTAGTGTAACTTTTCAATTACTTTATTAAAGTAATGTAACTGATTACATTTGATTACTTTTTGATTACTACAAGTTACCCTATTATAAATGTAATAAGTAGTGTAACTATTTCAGTTACTTTATTAAAGTAATGTAACTGATTACATTTGAGTACTACTTTTTTTTTTACTATTTTAAATCGCTAATGAATGTTTTCAACTGTTATTCGTTTTCAAACATGTAAAGCAGGCAGGGTTAACCTTACAGTAGCGCTCAGCACTGATTACTGTCAGACTTTAACATCCTTCATCACTTGAATTAAGATTAGAAAAATGTTATTTTAAAGCACAGCCACCACAAAATCAGCACCTCTTTTTACTTTGAGATCATTCTGAGGTTATACACTGATTTAAAATCACAACAAGATACAGTTTAATAGCTATGATACTGATTTGGAAATCAAATCTTTGCATAGCTATGACTAACAATGCCTTATTAAAAAATAAAGCATATACATAAACCCAAATAGAAAATAAAACAGTTATTGAATAAACGTGTTCTATTCTGTGTCCTAAACTCCTAAAACATTGGTGTCTCATATTGTAGAGCAGTCAGTTCAGTTTGAGAAAGAAATCAATTAAATGTGTGTGTGTGTGAAAATATTCAGATGTAACCCCTTTTGTAATTGTTAACATTTTCCTAAGTAAGTGTAATTTAATTACACATTTTCTTCTACACTGTAAAAAATAAGTGTACTTTTAACTGTAAAATTTTGTAAAAACGCTACGGAAAAAAACTGTTAATAGGTTAACAGTAAGTTCCCGTACTATATACAGGGAAAAACTGTAAAATATCTAACCAGACATTTCATGTAATTTTACAGTAAAATGCTGTTAATTTGACAGTTTTTAGAAGTAAAAATAACAAATCAATGTATAATTTACAGTCAAAAACAGTAAACTGATATTCCCAGAATTCCCTGCATGACACTCCACATTTGAAAGTATTTTGTTTAAATAATCATGTTTTTTTAATAGTTTTTGTTATTAGTTATGTATATTTGGGCTTTATGTGGAGGTTTCTGGCTCAATGCAGGAGAAAATCTCATTTTGAGAAAACCGATATGCATAATAATTTAAATCGACATTGATAATAATCAGAAATGTTTCTTGAGCAGGAAATCAGCATATTAGAATGATTTCTGAAGGATCACGTGACACTGAAGACTGGAGTAATGATGCTGAAAATTCAGCATGGACTCACAGGAATAAATTACATTTTTTAAATATATTAAAACTGAAACCAGTTATTTTAAATTGTAAAAATATTTTACAGTTTTACTGTATTTTTGTTGAAATAAATGAAGCATAAAATACATCTTTACCATATTCTTTAATATATATATATTCCTAGATTAGTATTTCTGCAATGTCTGTAGACTATGGTCACATTAGGAATAAAATAAACACTAAAATGTGTATTTCAAGTGTTTTCTTTCCACTGGTCTAAAAGTAATGTAATGATGCCAGATAGCGTAAAATCTTAAAATTGACCAGTACATGAAAAAACAATAGATTTGCCTGTAATGTCTTGCATTTTCATAACCATTTTCTCACTAACGCTCATATGTTCCAACGCAGGGCCGGAAATCCTTATGAATCAGCAGGATAGCGGTGGTTTTCAGGAGCCCAGAAAGCGAACAGACTTTCCTGAAACCTGGATCTGGCTGGACGCTAATATGAGGTATGAGGAGATATATGTCTATCTTCGAGCTGATTTTAACTTGGAAATAACAAGAAATCAAACATGAGATCTCTTTAAAACTATATGGCTGTAGATATGGAGGTGAGATTTGTGTTTGTAAAATCGTCAGTACTGTGTAGTTCGAAAGTATCGAAACTTTGAATTATTGATGCTAGAAAACATATTTATTAGTGTTTGTTATAGGAAATGAAGACCCAGAAATGAACACTTGCTGAAAATGTACTGACCCTCAGGCCATGCAAGATGTAGATGAGATTGTTTCTTCATCAGATTTGGAGAAATGTAGCATTCCATCACTTGCTCACCAATGGATGTGCTGCAGTGAATGGGTGCCGTCAGAATGAGAGTCCAAACAGCTGATAAAAACATCACAATAATCCACAAGTAATCCACACCATGTTAATTAACATCTTGAGAAGTAAAAAGCTGTGTGTTTGTAAGAGACAAATCCTTAAACTTTAAACCATTGCTTTTAACTTCGCTTCTGGCCAAAATACTATATTCTATAATCCGTAATAATGCTTCCTTCAGTGAAAAAGGCCTCGCATCAAAATCCACCCACATATTTGTTTGGAACTGTTTTGACATGTAAACGGTGCTTGATCTGTGCATATTTCTCTCCTGATTCAGACGAGACAACATATTTAATGGGAAAAAGCAATATTATAGATAGAGAACTTGTTTTTTAGCCAAAAAATGTTTTAAGTTAAAAACATCTTAACAATAGAATTGTTTATTACAACACAGACCTTTTCACTTCACAAGACGTTAACTGATGGACTGGAGTGGTGTGGATTACTTGTGGATTATTGTGATGTTTTTATCAGCTGTTTGGACTCTCATTCTGACGGCACCCATTCACTGCAGAGCATCCATTGGTGAGCAAGTGATGTAATGCTACATTTCTCCAAATCTGTTCCCATGAAGAAACAAACTCCTCTACATGTTGGATGGCCTGAGGGTGAGTATTTTTTTTTTAGCACATATTCATTTTTGGGTGAACTGTTTCTTTAAGGCAGCATCATTGTCAAAATTTGTGTTAGTTATTTGAACAAACCACTGACTCACAGTATTAAACCCTGGCACACAAATAAACAAAAGTAAGCATTTTTTGTGAATTTTGATTTGTGAATTGAAGTCAGCTAAATGACAAATGACCTGAAGCTCTCTTCATGTCTTTAACTGTCACAGGTGATGGTTGTGGTTGCAGAAAGTTGGATGTTTGAGTTTGTGTCACCAGACAATGGAGGATTTTCCTTGGGCAACGTGAGGAAAGCCTTAGTGTCGAGTCAGAACATCACATCACTTCTGTTCCCCATCAGAGCCACAGCGCTGGGAGAGATTCCCATCTCCGTCAAAGCCACGTCTGTCTACTCTTCAGACTGGGTCTACAAGACGGTTCTTGTCAAGGTGATTCATTTCAGTATAATATTTCACCCCAAAATTAAAAGAGAAAAATCGTTGGCCTATTTTGCATAAAGAAAATTAAGGTTGTTTTGCAATTATTTATGCATTTATTAGTTCATTTATTTATCTATTTATGCATTTATTTATTGTTCATGACTGCAATGCTTGTGGACATTTTTAGCTTTTTTTCTCATTGTGTTTGATGCTTCTATATTTGTTTAAAGCAATGGAAAATCTGTAATATGTTGATGTTTTTATTTTAATAAATTAAAGACAGTGCAGCTATTTATTTGGACAGTTTTCACGACAATTTTTGCCTCATGTGTTCATGACTTCAATGCATCTGGACATTTTTAGCTTTTTTCCCCCTCATTCTGAATGATTCTATTTATTACAGCAAACCAAATCTGTAATACACTGGTGTTTTAAATAAACTGAAGACACTCCCAACAATGTGCAACATGTGCAACAGCCTGGGAAAGTGGAAAATCCTACTAAACTTTTTTTGTTGTTGCTGAATGATTTTTCTCTAGCCAGAGGGACTGGAGCAATCATACTCTCAAACCTTGTTTCTGGAGTTTCAACTGAAGCAGAACATGCTGACTAGGACAATGTCGTTTAGTTTTCCTGCAAATGTGGTTCCTGACAGTCAAAGGGCCAGTGTGTCTGCTGTGGGTATGTGTCCTCACTCTGTATTTCTATTCTAAGAGGACATTATCAGTCTGCTTTTGCATATTGAGTGCAAACATCTCTCCTCTGTATGTGTATGTTGCAGGTGACATTCTGGGCCCGTCCATTGGCAGTCTGGACTCTCTCATTGAGATGCCTTATGGTTGTGGAGAGCAGAACATGATCCATTTTGCTCCAAATATTTATGTTCTCCAGTACATGAGAAGCACCAAGCAGACTGATGAACAGACCAGAAACAAAGCTATGAGCTACATGATGGAAGGTAAACGTTGTGTAGTCTAGTTGTATAGTTCTGAGACAAAGAGCAAATGTCCTTGACTTATCATATATGTTCTGTTTGATTGCAGCTTATGAACGTGAGCTTTCCTACCAAAGGCTTGATGGCTCCTTCAGTGCTTTTGGAGACAGTGATGATTCTGGCAGCACATGGTATACAGAAACAGCTTAAATTCTACCCCAAAATTCTGAGCAAATACCATTTTTAATATCAAACATCTTCATTCCTCTTTTCAGTTCAGTGCTGATTATAGAACTGATGGATGAAAAATGATGTGTGTGAATGATTGGTGGTGTGTTCTGTGATATTCAGGCTGTCAGCGTTCGTGCTCAGGTGTTTCCTCCAGGCTCAGGACTTCATTTCCATCGACCCGATGGTGATGCAGAGGATAGCATATTGGCTACTGGCTCATCAGAACGCTGACGGTTCGTTCGAGGAGCCGGGTCGGGTCATCCACACAGAGCTCCAGGGAGGACTGGATGGGCCGGTGTCTCTCACGGCATACGTCCTTATAGCGCTTCTGGAGGACGCTGAATACAGGGTGAGTTAGAGAGACTGACTGATGGAACGATAGATAGATAGATAGATAGATAGATAGATAGATAGATAGATAGATAGATAGATAGATAGATAGATAGATAGATAGATAGACAGACAGACTGACTGACTGACTGACTGACTGACAGATAGATAGACTGAAAGACAGACAGACAGACAGATAGATAGATAGATAGATAGACTGAAAGACAGATTGAAAGACAGATAGACAGACAGATAGACAAACAGATAGATAGATAGATAGATGGATTAAATGTAGATCAATTGAATGATAGATCGATTCAACAATAGATAGACTTAATGACAGAATGTTAGAACTATAGATGGATGGATGGATGGATAGACAGACAGACAGACAGATTTACAGATTGATCGATAGAACGATTGAATGATAGAACGATAGATCGATTGAACGTAGGATGGATGGATTGATTGATTGAAGATCTGTTTGTGTCTCTGGTAGAGTGCATTTGAAGGCAGCATTTCTTCTGCCGTGAGTTTCCTGACGTCTCGACTGGCTCAGAGAATCTCCAGTAACTACAGCCTGTCTTTAGTGACCTATGCTCTGTCACTGGCCAACAGCACCGCCGCCCCATCTGCCCTCACCGAGCTGTTGAACAGAGCACTAATTGTTGGTAAATATCCTCTGGATTTATACTCTAAAGACAGCACGCCACAGATGTGAAACACACACACAAAGCTGAAAATAACCTGCAATTTTCCTTTAACACAGTGTGGCGAGCAGCTGTAGTGTTATGGATGAGCGTCGCACCTGGCACAGTAAAATGTGTTAGATGCTAATGTGTTTATAATAGTTGGATGGTGACGCTGTATCTGGGTCTTTCAGATGGAGTGCCAACCTGGAGACCCCCAGCCAACGTCCTGTACAATTCCTGGCAGCCAAGTTCATCAGATATTGAGATGTCGGCCTACGTACTGCTCGCCATGCACAGACTCAAACTAATGGATGAAGGATTCACTCTGGTGAAGTGGCTCAGTAAGCAAAGAAACCATCTTGGGGGATATGGATCCACTCAGGTACATATCAAACAGACATTCAACTCACGAGAGAGACAATAGAAACTGTTTAAATGGGACAAAATGGCTCACTTTTAGACATTCAGGCTCCCAAAACGAATGCCAACATTTTAAAAAGGCTAAATTGCCTACAACAGCATTCTAATACTCTTGGCTGAATAGTTGTTTTTATCATGGTTTCAGCAAAAATATTAAGTAGCACAACTGTTTTCAACATTGATAATTATCAGAAAAAATTCTTGAGCAGCAAATCAGAATATTAGAATGATTTCTGAAGGATCATGTGACACTGAAGACTGGAGTAATGATGCTGAAAATTCAGCATTACATCACAGGAACAAATTGCATTTTACAATATATTCTAATAGAAAACTGATACTTTAAAGTAATAATATTTCACATTTTTACTGTATATTTGATCAAATAAATGCAGTTTTGGTGAGCATATTAGAGAATGTATAAGGGAATATTCCAGTTTTAACAGAAGTTAGTCTATAGCATCTGTAGCATAATGTTGATTATCACAAAAATCATTTTGACTCATTCCACATTTCCTTTTTGTTTTGTTTTTAAAAAAAAGCAAAAACAGTCAGTCACTTACAATGGAAGTAAATGGGGCCATTTTGATCAAATAAATTGGTGAGCATATTAGAGAATGTATAAGGGAATATTCCAGTTTTAACAGAAGTTAGTCTATAGCATCTGTAGCATAATGTTGATTATCACAAAAATCATTTTGACTCATTCCACATTTCCTTTTTGTTTTGTTTTTTAAAAAAAGCAAAAACAGTCAGTCACTTACAATGGAAGTAAATGGGGCCATTTTTACAGGAGAGCTTCACATTTCTGCAAATGTTTATAGTTGTTTTAAGGTTGTCATTACAAAGAAGTTGTAAAATTGGTTATTATAACATTCCACAAAAAGTCTAGTAAGTGACTTTTTGCGCTCTAAAATCATGTTAACGCATATGCGACCCTGGACCACAAAACCAGTCATAAGGGTCAATTTTTCGAAATTGAGATTTACACATCATCTGAAAGCTGAATAAATAAGCTTTCCATTCCATTGTTAGGATAGGGCAATATTTGGCCGAGATACAACTATTTGAAAATCTGGAATCTGAGGGTGCAAAAATTCAAAATATTGAGAAAATCGCCTTTAAAGTTGTCCAAATAAAGTCCTTAGCAATGCATATTACTAATCAAAAATTAAGTTTTAATATATTTACAGTAGAACATTTACAAAATATCTTCATGGAACATGATCTTTACTTAATATCCTAATGATTTTTGGCATAAAAGAAAAATCTATAATTTTGACCCATACAATGTATTTTTGGCTATTGCTACAAATATACCCCAGCGACTTAAGACTGGTTTTGCGCTCCAGGGTCACATATTGTTTAAATCTTGTGGTTTTACTATTAATACAGTATTGTAACATATACGGATTGACCCCATTTATTTCCCATTATAAGTGCTTTTTTTTTTTTTTTTTCCAGTAGAACAAGTAAAAAAAAATGTGGTGATCAAAATTACACCACCTGGGAATATTCCTTTAAGAAAGTCAGCAGGGTTTAACATCATCTGAGGCATTGACTGGTTCCCTTGTGTTGATGATTACACGCATCTATGATCTATTCCATTGATTCAAGGAGGTGAATTTGTTGGCAAGCGAATGTTTCAATTGGAAATCAAGCTGTGCAAACGGCCATCGAGGTGAGATAAGAAAATGTACTTTTAATTTTAAAAAGGCCCTCGTGATATTACATTTGGCTCGGGACCGAAGGCCTGCGATCTGTCACGAACACTAACCTCAATGAGGACTAGCAGTTTCTGGGCCGTGAGCTCTGATAAAGCGCTGCGCTCATGTTAAAGCCCCTCGCTTTGACACAACAACTCGAATCCAACAGGAGAACATCTGACTGCGCTCGAGAGAGTCCTGGCGGTATTTGGTCGAGTGTGGAAAGATTAAAGGATCTGTGTCTCTGCTCCACACATGTGCGGTGTTATTTACCAGGCGGCAGGTGATTGAATTGAGAGTGTATCTGTGACACAGATGCACGGGCACCTGTTATTGACGCAGAGAGATCACATCTGCCAAAACTGATACAAAAACTGCTTATCCCATTTTTTATTATTTTTTTATTGAATGCACTTTTTGTTGTTTTGATCAGTTCTAAAGCTTTATTAAAATATCTGTGCTCTGTTTGTATGTCTTTGTTGTCAGGATACAGTGATGGCGTTGCATGCACTGTCAATCTACGCCACCTTCAGCAGCGCAGAGTCCATAGATCTCACCATCACTGTGAACGGTGCCTCCGGTGCTGCCGCCACATTCAACATAGACAGATACAATTACCTGCTCCAGCAGAGCCAAGACCTGCCCGTATGTATATAATACACAGCTCTAGATACACACTACTGTTCAACAGATTGAGGTCAGTAAGATTCCCATTTCAAATAAATGCAGTTCTTTTGATCTTTCTATTCAGAATCCTAAAAAAATGCATTATGTTTAAAAAAACAAAACAAAACAAACAAAAAAAAAATTATATATAGCAGATCAGCATATTAGAATGATTTCTGAAGGATCATGTGACACTTAAGACTGGAGTAATGATGCTGAAAATTCATCTTTGCATCACAGGAACAAATTTGATTTTAAAATATATTCATACAGAAAATGGTTATTTTAAATTGTAATAATATTTCACAATTTTACTATTTTTTAAACTGTAATTTTAATCAAATAAATGCAGCCTTGGTGAGACTTTCAAAAACATAAAAAAATCTTACTGACCCCAAACTTTTAAACGGTAATGAATAAAGGAATATTTTGTATTCAACAGAAAGAAGTTAAGCGGAATCTAGCATTTGTAGCATAATGTTGATTAACACAAAAAATGATATATATAGAGACAGGGTGCGAACTACGGGGGAGCTAGGGGGAGCTCGGCTCCCCTTAATAAGACATGGGCTCCCCTGAAAACGGGATTTGTGAAATTTTGGGGGGTCTCGCGCAAGTGCACGAACAACCCCCCCCGTTATAAAAAAAACAAACAAGTGGGCTCCCCCAAAGTCCACGTTATAGTTCGAACACTGTATAGAGAGCGAGAGGAAAGTGAAGCTTATAATTCTATAAAAGCACTTACATTAATTCTTATGTGAAAACATGAGTATTATTTGAGCTGTAAAGCTTTTTAAATGATCATTTTACAGTCATTTTAGGAGTGTAATGACAACAAAGTTGCATATAACTTAACACAATAAAGGCTAGCACTTTTTGTAACTGAAAATTCAGCTTTGACATGACGGGAATAAATTACATTTTAAAATATATTTAAATTATCTTCTTTTCTTTTTTTTAAATTGCAATGTTATTTCACACTTTTCTTGTTTTACTGTATTTTTGATCAAATAAATGCAGCCTTGGTGAACATTAGAGACTTCTTTTAAAAGAATGAATAAATCTTACTGACCCCAAACTTTTGAGCAGTACTGTGTAACTCCTAACACAAAGTATTAAACTTTCTTTTCAAAGTAATCACTGCACATAACAAGCAGACTGTTTGTGACACTAGTAATAGTAGTACGTGGCGCATGCTAATGTTGGGGTTGCCTCTACAGATCGAAGCAGAAGAGGGGGTTGATATTGAGGTGGTGGCAGAAGGTAAAGGCTTTGCTCTGTTTCAGGTATGTCTAAACATCTCCAAGTTAAGAATTTGTCCTTAAATGCATTGTTTAGCACTGCTGCAAAAAAATATTGAAGCTAATAAAAGGCTGCTATTTGCTTGTTGAACGACTAGTTGACATAGCAGCATAATTTAGCAGGATCATCTCCATTGCAGAACTGTCAAATAGCGAGGTATTACCAATGCAAGCAGGTTATGAAGGTTCAACAGCTGTGAATAATAACTGAAACCCTCATAAAGATAAAAAGAGACGTAATGGCAGAAACATTCTGTTGTCATCAGCAGTCGGATCCCCTCTTTCTCAGTCCAATGTGTAATTATACCTTTGATTGCTCACCATGGAGCACGTAAACCGGCCCAGACGCTGCTTTCCTCATCAGTGAGACACCAGCAACATCTTGAGCTGCTTTGAAAGGCCACACCGAAGAAACAGCGTCCAGAACTCTGTTCTGCAGAAGATTGGCAAAGCAGAGATGACCTCATTTTGAGTCGTGTTTGCTAATTTGTTCTTCAGACATGAATGATTCCTCAATCATCTGGCTTGAACTGTTGCTTTATAAAATCTCATAAAATGGGGGAATTATTAGAGTATTATTCATTTTCTCTTACTGTTTCAGCTTAATGTGTTCTACAACGTGATGAACCTGAGAACGTCGCTCAGACGGCGTGACATACACACAGATGAGGCCTTTTATTTGTATATAGACGTAATGGACAATGAGGAGTTCAGTGTAAACCTTCACATATGTTTCAGGTGAGCAGCTGAGCCGAACACACACCGTTGTTTACTTATTGCCAAAATGATTTCATCAGCACCAAAAAATGCGATTAAAAAGACTGCACTATTGAGGTCCTGATTATTTAACATGATTATTTAACTCATTGACTACATCATGCATTTATATGCAACTTATTTTATTTTTTAAAGACTTATTTAAAAAGTCTTTAACTCAACTTAAAAAAAAAAATCAGAAAAAAAAAAAAAAAGAATAATATAATATAAATTAGATGAATATAAAATAAATTTGATCAACAGTATTCGATTAATATCTTATTTTCAAAGCCAAAATTGTAATTGAAAATAATTAAAAATGTTAAAATATATTTGAATTATATAACAAAATAAAAAAATGGCTTTATTTTAAATCAAATATAGCAAGTGCACATTTAAAACAAAATCACAAAAGCTCAATTATTGTTAGTTTGCAGATTCCACTTGGTTTGATGTTTTGTTTCATCCTTTTCTTCTCATTATGGATGTCAAAAAAGTAAAATCAGTGTTGATTATCAAGAAAACAGTTTCTAAAATTATACTTAAACAAATAATAAGATATTCTATATCATCAATATTGCATTCGATTTTGGATATCTCGGGCAAATCATGAATTTCAATCATTTTTAATTGTCCAAATTCTTTTTGGGGCCACTGTAGATATTCTATGGAATCATTTGTGAATGTAAATCTGTTTGAAAGCATAATTTCTGCTGTTTTTAAGGCTGAGGGAGGACCAGGGCCTGAGACAGACGGGTATGGCAATACTGGACGTGGGTTTACTCTCGGGGTTCAGTTTGGCCCAAAACGGTGTCCAGCTAAATGATATAGTCAGACGAGTAGAGACACCTTCAGGACGAGTTACACTTTATTTAGACACGGTGAGTTCCTCTTATATATTCATGACTACAATATTACAGTATAAGTGTGCTGAATCTATTTTTGTGCTGATGATGGTTTATTTGGTTCATGTTTTCGTGTGCATTATGCATCCATGGCTGACAGTATGGCCAATCTCATCGTCTTTTCTCTCATCATAGGTGACCACAATGGAAAGGTGCGTTGAAATATCCACCACCCTGGAATTTAAGGTGGTCAATGTCCAAGATGCTGTGGTCATGATCTATGATTACTATGAGCCCAGTAAGACTCTTAAATAATAGCTCCAGATCCTCTAATGCATTCCTATGTTGCAGTATGTGTTTCAAGCTCCTTGTTTCATTCCCTTACCTTCTGCAGGACGGAGGACAGTGCGGTCCTACACATCTGAGGCAAGACGGGACATGTCTGTGTGTTCGCTATGTGGGCCGGATTGCTCCGAGTGTGGGGTTCGAGACATCTGGCCGACTGACGGGACACCGTCCATTAATAAACATCCACTTCTGGCTCTAAGTTTGACCACAGCACTCATCATCCTCCTGTCAATCTGCAACTAGTGTTTTCCCTAAATCAAAACCATTGTAATCAATAACACAAGCAAAATGTATGTGTACATTGTTTTTAAAAAATTGTTTCAGAAAATGTGAAAAAATTCTTTGTAAATTTTATGTATGAAAATTGGTGCATTTAGTTCAGTGCAACAATGAATGATTTTTACAAACAGTTTAGACAGAATTTGGTTTCTTTAAATGATGTTTCATGAATTAATCATTCATTAATTAAAAATAAATTATTAAATCAAATTAATCATTTAATTATCAATTAATATGATAATTATTATAATTCATTAATTACTTATTGATTGAATAAAGGATGCTTTTTTTTAAGAATAATTGAAATAGTAAATCAGGGTCAGGCTCAAAACTGATAAATTAACTTTTTAAATGTAAGCACTGTGATTCTTACACTCCCTGTCATCATTATAATAATCCGCTGCATAAAGCTGCATTACGTACCTCAATTACAAATTTTCCAGTAGTGAACATGTTTGTCTTTTTTGATCTTATAAGTTGCAATGGCTTTAAGTTTCAACACTGTTTAAAAACAGTAAGTATCAATTGTATACAAAGTGACCTACATTGAATTTTGACCCACATTGACCGTTGAAAATGGGTCAAATTCAACAAGGAAAGTCTAAGAACCAGAATCTAAAAGAATATCGTTAATATGTCTTCAGTTACAGACATGCAAACTTTGGAAAAATTATATTTTTGGCACTCAAGACAAGTATGTTCTTATGCGAGTGTTTTGATAGAGGGAAACAAGATAGATTTCTAGTTTCAACATTATTTGTTCTTCAGACATTCCTCTTTAAAAGAAAAAAGTATCAGCTATACGCAAAGGGACCCACATTTGGTTCTTGACTGCTGAAAATGTGTGAAAAATCGGGTTGACGTCAGTATTTGACGCCAATTTGATGTTGACCTAACGTTGGATTCTGGTTACAGATAACCTAAACACAACAAATATCAACCTCAGCTTACGTCGGTATTGGACATCAAATTAAAATTGACATTAGATGTTGAATTGACATTGAATTTTGGTCACCCGACATCACGACCGAAATTTAACCAAATATAGGTAAATGTCTTATGACCAGTGTTGGGGGTAACGCATTACAAGTAACGCGAGTTACGTAATCAGATTACTTTTTTCAAGTAACTAGTAAAGTAACGCAATTTACAAGAGAATATCCGAGTTACTTTTCCAAATAAGTAACGCAAGTTACTTTTTTTCCCCCCAATTTATTGACTGACAGCTCTCCGGTCCCAATGTTGAGAGAAATCAGAAGATGTTACTGTAGTTCTAAAATAAATATGAATATGCATTGGGAACGCTAACTGATAGCTCTCTAGGTATCATAGACTTCGTTGGTTCACATTAATTCACAAATTGTTGATCAACCAATACCAATTCATCATATATTTAATTCAGGGAATATATCTCAGGGTCAAGATCTATGTTGTCAGCCGTGTTCCTCCTGAGATGATAAATGTCAACGAAAAATGGTCTAGTGATCTTTACGTAGTAACTTAATACTTAACTTAATGCTAAAGCACATAGCAACAGATAAACATTACATGATCCCACACTGTAATGCTATCATTCAGCTGACCTATCGTCTGCTTTTACAGTGGGTACGGAAAGTATTCAGACCCCCTTAAATTTTTCACTCTTTGTATACCAAACCCACATGCATCAAAATACGTCCCTTTTAATTCATTTATTGCATTTTTGCCAAAAGCATTAAAAACCAAAAGTTTTGGTTTTTGTGTAAAAACACTGTATTAATAATCTTACAGCCCCTAAGTTTTTGAATGGTATTATTAACGGCAAAACATCTGGTAGAAAATCTGTATAATTTATCATTTTATGTAATCTATCTATCTATCTATCTATCATTTTGTCTTATATAATGAATGATTGAGGAAGTACTATTAAGGATTTCCCCTCATTTCCCCAAAGTGAATTCATCACTGCTACTCCCCATTCCGCTTGTAGGAATAAATGTGAAATGATTTCACATTACATCAAGTTTATTTAGCTCATTGTTACTCTAAACTGACAGAGGTTTGATGTGGATATTGTATCCAGAGGCTCGGAAGTATTAATCCACAGAGGCAGAGCGTGGGGGTGATGAAAGAGCAGTGGACAACACTTCCTCCCCAGCGGCACACAGGAAATGATTCAACGGCCTGCACATCCACTTAATTCAGACATCATGGATGCTAACACACTCAGCCTGGCCATAGAGTTAAGGTGATTGGATTTAGGTTCCCACTAGGTGGCAGGCATGGCTAAGCAATGTGCGTCTTGTCTCGAAGAAGCCTCATAAAGCATGTGCTGATAAGAGAATGGTGAGTGTTTTCTATCTTTTGACTTTTCTCGAGGCATAAACTGACATGTAATCACTCCCAAAGTGCGTTTAAAGCTGTTAGCATTACAATGGCTAAAAACACATAGAGAGTTGGCAGGAGACAGTAGTACACTGCATATGAGAACATGCATGAATGAAAACAAGAGATTCTGTCGCAGCCGAATCAAAGCTTGAGGCCCGTTCACATGAAGAATGGATAACTATATTAGCGTTCATACCAACACACGGAAACGTTGAGTTTATTATAAGCACGTTTGGTCGTTGGCAGCTTTAAAGGGGTCATCGGACGCAAAATTCACTTTACATGTTGTTTGAACATAAATGTGTGTGTACACATCCATCCTATAAGGATAGAAATCCACCCAGTGTTTTTTTATTAAATAAAGCAATAAGCCCCAAGAAGCCATGGTTTACAGTGAATTTATAACAGCTAAGGGGCTAAAACCCCCTTAGCTGTTATAAATTTACTGTAAACCGCGGCTTCACTTATTGCTTTTATAAAACGGTTATTCCGTATATATAGCAAGGTTTCACAAAACAAAACAAAGCAAATAAAATGTAATGATTTTAATAAAAACATTATTCTTCCGCCAAACAATGTAGTTCCTCAGGAATGGACCTTTTTCACATTTCCGGGTTTCTCAGCAGCGGAAGTCGTCATAGTTGGGTTAACTTGAAGAGCAGTGAATGGGAGAGTACCACTAATATATTTTTTGTATTCCCATTTGCTCAAAATAGCAATAGAAAAACTCCACGATAGTGTTTTCCTGACTTTCAATAAAAGGGAAAAAACTGAGAGAGACTGATAACGGCAGTCAGAAGAGAGACGCTGCATTAGAAACACCCTCGCATTAGCCTGAACTGTGTTTTTGTAATTTGATGCAAAGGTGATATAATACAAATAGTGTTATAAGTGTACATACATCTAAAAAAAAAAATACAAATATGAAAAACTTTCGAGGATTTACGATGCTGATGAC